GCTGAACTCAATGCACGTGCTGTCCTCGCGGCACTGGAACTTGGCAGGGCACACTGTGCCAGAGGGAAGAGCCCGGGAATCAGGAAAGGAAGACAAGGCATCAGGTGTGAGGTCAGGGTCCTGAGTGCACCAGTAGAATCTGCAACCTCTTCCCCCGTCTCATAAGGTGTGCTTGAGATCAGCTCTTGCGTAGTGCAGCTGCACAATCACTGCCTGATCTAGGTTGTAGGTGCTCCCGCACGCTTTGCTCATGCTGACTTAACTTTCCTTGACTGCTTGGCTTGGCCTTTGATCTACATCATCACTATGTGCTTGACTTGAGGTCACCAATGCCTGGTTGCCCCCAGGTTGCCATCACCAGACCTGGTCTGCTTGCCTTATTCAGGTCTGCAGGTCTGCATCCTGTCTGGTGAGGTCACTGTTCCTCCTGCCTTGCTGTCACCCTCAGCTCATTAATCACCTTCCCCTACAGAGCAGCTGCTCCCCTTGCTCTCTGATAAATAAGCCCTGAACTATGTCCCTGAGCTCCACTAGCTGCTCAGGATGGATATGGACCTAAGGTGCTTACCCATCACAGAGACTTCTGATTATACATTTTTATAGCAGGAACTCATCCTGTGTTTGTGTGTATCTATATGCAGCACCCAGCATGATGGGCCAATATCTCTTAGGCATTTTCTGACTGCAATAATTAGAATTTCTTCAATAATTAGTGTGAGGCTTCTAGATGACTAAAGACACATGAAGGTCTGAGGCAATGCAGACATTGATTTTAGAGACAGACATGGATTGAATAAGCAACAATGGCAAGAGTACAAAAAAAGAAGGAAATCCTGATGTTTCTATTTTCTTTTTCAAATACAAAGGGATGTTTGAAAACATCAAGAAGCAATTTTTTTTTTTTTCATTCTTGTTCTGTGTTGAACTGTGGAACTGAATGACACAAGATATCCCTGGGGCCAAGAAGCTAAGAGGATTCAGGAAAGGATTAGATATTCATAAGGATGCATATGTACCCATGTCTGCATGTGGGAAGCAAGAAATCCCTGATGTCAGACAGCTGGGTGATGGGGCAGAGTGCACCATCAGCAAGACTGCAGACAACACAAAACCCAACCTCTGTAATCCTGTGAGTACTCTCACATTTCCAGCACTGAGTTAAAACTTCCTTGAGAAAGATTTCTCCTTCCCTTTACTTGAGATTTTTCTGTACCTCCAAGTCTTTCAGAATTGGCCACTGTCTCCAGTGGTTCAGAGATCTTTCTGTCTGTGAAAAAACAGCTGTAGGGGGCAACTAACGAAAAACTAGTGGTGGCAACAATGTGATGAGCCCCGCACTCACAGCAGGGATGGGAGAACAGATGAAATAGATGTCATGCCTGAGCCTTAATAACCATTCCTATAAGAATGGGGTTTTGCAGGAGTCCTGGGATGCCAGGGATGGCTGCCTGCACCCGCGCTAACTGCTCTGGGCATGAAGATCTGATGGCTCATCAAAGACTTGGATGCTCCCAAACTGGGGCACAATATATGGGTGAGAATCTGTACAGACCAAGTGTCACAAATAGACTGGGGGAAAGGGGACAGAGCAGGGCAGCAGGTGGGCTTGGGGAGATGCTGGCAGGGTGGGAGGGTGGGCAGGGGGATGCTGAGTGGTGTGACAGCAGAGGGGGCTGCAAGGCCAGGGCTGAGCCTGGTTGTCTGGCCTGAGTGGGGGGAAAGCAGGACAAGGTGGGGGACAACTTTGGCAAGGGGCTTTTTTCAGGCTGCATTGGAGCTCCTGGTTCATGGGTACTAAGGGGTTCTCCCACAAAGACTGTGCTGTGCACAGGTGCAAGAATTGTTGCTGCTTCTTCCAGAGCAGGCTGAAACCATACAGCAGTGAGATGACACCTTTAAGAACGCAGAAATTTAAGTTCCTGGAAGGGAGATACAAGGCTGTACCTCGGCCAGATGAATCCTTTGAATCTCTTCCTACCTTTGAAGGAGAAAGGGGCCATGTCCAGCTTGACACCAAGGATCATCAGGGGGCAGATATCACTCACCACAGTTCCTCTCATCCAGGCCATTGGGACAATCTTTGATCCCATCACAGGCTGGGACGCACAAGCCGTTCACCGAACACAGGAACTCCCCGGGACAGGCTGCAAAACCACCAGCGAGTAGTTAGTCCCCAGTGACTGGAAACCTCCTCGCAGCAGAGAACTGTGGCTTGAAAGTGGAGCGTGGGGCTGCACACCTTCCTGACTGCACGTGTGCTGCAGCTCCCCAAAATCTGCCCCATCATCTGCCCTGAACCAGGCTATGCACTAGGGGAAGGGAGGCTATTTCCTCTGCTGCTTCTTGTATCCGTGGGCAAGAGCCCAGACAAGTACACTCCTGGTGTGCTCTACCTCTGGTTTAGTGCTGCTTCATGTCTCCTGAATGCTGCAGGAAAGCTGAAACAGGTTCTTTGGAGCTGTTACTAAAACTTGGTCAGAGTCATGAAGGGGTTGGTGTTAGACATGTTGGCAGGGGCACTCATTCAGAAACTGGTATGTGTTACAGGAGCCCTTTGGGAGGGAGATGGAGAAACCTTGGAAAGAGAGACCGTGGGCGTGCATTTGCATACGTGTGTATGTGTATTTGTGTGCGGTTTTATTTGTCTCTCACTCACTTGGATTCCAACATGAGCAGAAAACAGGTCTGTCTAAGAGCCCTTATAAATGAAATAAAAGTTGCTTCAAGCCAGAGATGGTCTCTCATTGAATTCCCAAGGCCAGTCCACGATGAAGGCATGGATGGTGAGACTACAGATAACTCTGACCTTGGGTTTTGGCACATGGATGCTCTGGCAACACGAGGCAGGGCCACATGTGCAGAAGCAGCTTCGCCCAGAAATGCCTCTTCCTTTTGGGAAATTAGTGGTGTGTGCATCACTGATTTGTGAGCATGTGCCTGAAGGACAGATGGCACCCAGGGCTCATGGGATGCTTCTTGCATTTCTCCTCACACAAACCAAGTGCACAGAGGCTGCTGGTAGCCACCACCCCACTAAGGAACAGGGAGGAGCCAAAACTTACGGTCAGATTGGTTGTACAGGCTGTAAGCTGCCTGTACGCCAGGGCCAGTTAAGGAGATCTGTGAGGTGAAGGTGATAGTGATGTCTGTGGAGGACATGACCGGGATTCGCTCTGCGTAGGCTTGCAGGGTCCTCAGGCCACACAACCTGAGGAGCAAACACAGGCAGGATGTCCTGGGCAGGGAGGGAGAAGATCACAAAGTGGGACAAGGTGGTTCAGTGGAGCTGGGGTGGGAAGGGGGCCACACAGACTGAGTGGGGGGGTGGAGCCAGGAAGGCAGAACACCTCCAATATGGCACGAGATACAGAGTCTGGAGTGACCCTACTGTCTTTGGACATTTCCACTTTCTGGGCAAGCACTGAATTCAAGCCACACAAAGCAATTAGGTTCTTACATTTATCTTCCTGAATAACCAATGTTGTTGAAACTATGGCTCTGACAGTTTAAGAGAGGAAGCAGGGAGAGAAGAAGCAGAAGTCTTAAGCCAGGGGAACAGAGCTGCTGGATCAGATCCTTCAGAGGAAAAGATGTTACCTGCACAAGAGCAGTGGAGAGGAAGTTAATGAGATGAGCTGGGAGAAGTTTTGGAGGGAAAGGGACAGTTTTGCAGTAAGTAGAAGGAAAAACAAAACCCATAGGTCCATCTGCCTCAGAGCATGCTTTGAGGAGATGGGAGCACAGCAGCTCTTGGTCCTTTGCACCTGGGCAGAAGTAGGCAGCAGTCCCAGCTAATTTTGAGCAGTTCTGCAGAGGGAAGTGGCTGTAGGATATGAAGCTAGGTAGAAGATCTGTATGGAGGTGGAAGCAGGGCAATGACACACACAGATAATATTGCAGAGGTGGTGACAGGCAGATTTGCAAACACAGGAGGCGTGGGAGGACACCAAGGTTACACACAGGAGAAAGCTTGGAAGCCTGATGCAAACAGCAAGACAGAGAAGGCAGGTGGGTAGCTCAAAGCAAATCTATAAGAAATGTGCTCACCAGGGAGCCTGTGAACAAGAGAAACTGAAAAAGAAGTAGAAAAGCAAGAGGCATCAGCACAAACAGTGGCCAGTGGGTGTGGTGATGGGCTCTGCTTCCTCAGACCTGGTGGCTGAAGTGATCAGGGAACCTGCAGAGATTTAATCTCAGTTTAATCCCCGGTGGGAAGTGAGAGAAAGAAACCAGGACCCCAGCACACACCTTCTGTTCTGAATTACCCACTGGCCTTGGGTACAGGGCAGGTCATTCTTCTGTCTGTTGAGCGCGTAGGCGTCAAACCACAGGGTGACCCCGTAGTCAAGGGATGGGACCTGCAGGCAAGGCAAGGGGGTCCAGAGCAGAGTGTAGAGGGCTCCTATGAGTGCTGCAGCCTGCTCCATATGACAGGAATGAGCAGGGTAGGTGTGAGGGAAAG